TTTAATAAAACCAGGCCATAATAAGCTTGTGAGGAGATCACACATAGGATACAATTTTATTCACTCTGAAGGAAATTCTTGTGTGTGGGAGTGGTCAACCAATTATGACAGAGTAAGAAAGGACCAGGGTGAAAATATAAAAGACCAACCCACACATTTAGGTCTGACATCCAGAGTAAAGTTTATTTTATTTCCTCTGCAGATCCCATACCTGAATCAAGAAAGTAATAAATAAGTTCCTGTTTTTCTCACATATCTGACATCTTGGCTTAAAGGGAGCTGGTAGGGACAATCTGAGGGATCTAAGACTTCAACAGTGTTCAGAGAAAGTTATTCATAAAAAAAACAGCACAAAAAAGGCCTACTTGAATTGACACGCTGAAAAGAATAAAATAAACAATCCAACTGGTTTAAATTGTACTCCGTTAGAGTTAAAGTTTCCTATTATGTACTAATGCTGTAATTCATAATGTGTTTGCAGTATTTTGATTTTGTAATGGGATTGGAGAACCACAGCAATGTCTGACTCAATCCTTGAATTACAACCAAATAGCATGAAGGATTCCATTTGACTTTAAAATTCAGGACTCTTATCCCATCAGCCCAAATAGCATCGTCATGTTGTTTCTGGCTTTGTTAGGGCTTAAATAAGTAAAGAGCCTAGCGCAATCATTCATGGGTGTGAAGCTTTTTTAAAAATGGGATCCTGAATTTGATTGGATGAATTTGATTGGATGACAAGTATAAACATATACCAAACACAATGAAACGCATCAGATCAGAGTAACGCCGGTTGTTTTTTCCCTTACATTAAGTTTACTTTTATACTTCAAGTAGTTTTGAAACAAGTAATTTTACTTAAGTAAAAAGCTTGAGTTGATACTTTTTAAACCCTAGTATCTATACTTCTACTAGAGCAGCGGTTCCCAAACTCAAGAATGTCGCGGCCCACTGAAATCTGAATATCTTTCGCGGCCCACCCAAACCTTTAATCACAACTCTGATCAAAACATGATTAAATGACCTTAAAGAATTCAACCAAAATCAATCAATCTCGCGCGAGCAAAAGTCTGTCTCCGCGAGGTATTTGCTCGCTTGCGAAACGTGAACTTCGTTCCTCGCGAGGAGAATCTCTGCTCGCACTCGAAGGAGTTTTCTACGCGCTCGCTGTTGTTCTGTTTGACAGTAAGGTGGAGACGGTGCTTTCAGGGTCCGATCGATGCCGTGAGGTGCGTCCGCTCACGCCGCCCCCCTCGCCATCCACGCCTTAAATCTTCGGCTGCTTTTAGAATAACTTATTTTCCCCGTTAAGATGGTTCAGCTACTGTAGAGAAAAGGACGCTGTCTCTCGCTCTTGAAGTGCTCGGTGAGAACGACAGATTTGTTTCTCCGACGCGCCCTGAAACAAGCTCCATATCTTAAATTGCGCCTTGGAGTGCGGAAAATGCGGTATATTTACTTTAATACTACAAGAGGGCGCCCCATTGTTGAACGACAGGCGGATAAGAGCAGCCGTTTCGAGCAAGAGCCTTATTGTTTTATTAATCTCCCCATCCATCCATCCATTGTCGAACCGCTTATCCTGCACACAGGGTCGCGGGGGGGCTGGAGTCCATCCCAGCCAACTTCGGGCGATAGACAGGGTACACCCTGGACTGGTCGCCAGCCAATCGCAGGGCTACACAGAGACACACAACCATTCACACATCTACGGGCAATTTAGAGTCCCCAATTAACCTGATCCCCAGGTTTTATTGATTTGTTTTATTAATCTGTCCGTTTAAATTGTTTGTGCTTCATCAACTAATGTTTCACATAAATAATGTGCCGCATCATAAATATTTTTATATTAATTTCAAACTTTTAAAAATTGAAAATTAAAAAAAAATATTTATTGAAAATGACCTCTCGCGGCCTACCCACACTTTGGGAATCGCTGTACTAGAGTAATGAATGTGAATACATTTGACCCTCTGATCAGCTTTTTTGTGTGAAAGCTGAGAATCTATGCATTTCAACTGAAAAAAAAAGTATAATTTTGTAATATTCACATTTTGTATAATTATACTTAAATCAAGCAATAGAAGTGTGTTGGTATACAAGTCACTGTTGACTTTGTTTGACAATGGAACAGCAGCCCACTCTGTGAAAGTCCATGCTTGTTCTAACCAGCAAACCTCCCCGTCCAACATGCCCAAAGAGGACTTTTTCACCCTGTATACTACTTCATCAAATGGTTTTACTTTGAAAATACAGAAATTTAATTTTGAAATTATTTTTTTTAAATGGATTAGTAGTACTATTAAAAGTATTAGGAACAAGCAAGGGGTTTGCAAGATGTCTGTCTGAGTTCATCAATTGGTGTTGTCACAACACCAATCAGCTAATAGTAGTTACCTGTGTGAGAAACTGAGTGGCGCCTGTCTGTGGTTGCCATTGTGATAGCGCAGCTCTGATTGTTAACAACCTGATCAAAGAGCAGAGACAATAACAGATATTTACCCAGATTCCACACGCCCGACAAGTACTCTAATGCTGCGTTCACACCAAAAGCGAACCAAATTATTTGCCAAAATGACCACATTCGTCCTCCTCTGAGACATTTACCTGTGTTTTCATGGTCTCAAGCTCAAAAAACAGATGCTAGGGCGTAAGTGGCAGTCCCTTTCTTTTTATGCTGGATTTGAACAAAACCATGAACATTTGATCTTAGCCTTTATTCCCTCCATATTGGGTTTTTCAGCATTGTCCTGTAAAAGATATATCTGAGGCAGCCGTTGTCTCCTGTAACAACCAGCTATGATGGCATGAATTATTTATTCTGTCCATGGACAACCTCTCATGTTCTTCTCATCTTCCCCCTGGTCCATCCTTATTGACAAGGCACTTTCACGCGGGCTTTGCGCTGTCCTTGAACATCATTCACAATGTGCCTGCTGAAATTTTAAAATTTCAGCAGGCAAAATTTATATTTGAACATGGCTCACAGTCTCTGCATGTCGAGATAATGTAACACATTGAACTTTTGCAGACATTCAAAAGGAGTCCAATCACAACATTGACTATAACGCAATGGCCTGAATGCAAAAACATTTCCCACAACATGAAACCCCATTCCAAAATCAGAAATTTCTGAAAACTATGTAAACATACAGCATGTAAACACATCCTTGGTCAGTTTTAAGTAAACATTCCCCTTCAATTCCAACTCAGTCTGTTCAGGATCCCGATAATGGAAATATTCATGTATAATAGATGTGTCTGGAACAAAATATACACGTGCCAGTAAAAGTAGTTTCTGTGTATTAGCGAAAAGGGGTTTCAGGAATCAGGAAACATTTATTGCCATGATATATCAGACATTCAAGGAATTTGACTTGGCGGTTGGTGTATAACAGCAGACAGTACGACAATGGACGACAAGACAACAGTGCAAGAGGAATAAAATAAAATGCTATGGGTTAGTAATATAAGGCCATAGCTTTCTATTACTAACCCATGTTAGTTTAAAAATGAATATTCCTATAAAAAAGGAATAAAAGTTAAATATTTAAAAATAATACGTGCACCAGATAACAGAAAGTGACAAGTGAAAGTGACGTGGAGTGTGTGTGAAGAAAGTGACCGGTGGAATGTCAGTCAGTCAGTGGGGGACCGGGTTCTGTTGATGAGCCCGACTGCCGACGGGAAGAAACTGTTCATGTGGGGGGAGGTCTTAGTCCTGATGGACCTCAGTCTCCTGCCAGATGGAAGGGGCAGAAACTGTTTTTGTCCGGGGTGAGAGGGGTCGGCTACGATCTTTTTAGCTCGCTTCGGGGTCCTAGAAGCAAACAAGTCCTGGAGAGACGGCAGATTGCAGCCGATCACCCTCTCTGCAGAGCGGATGACACGATGATGGTGCACTTTTACACGGCTGCAGCCACAGCCAAGGACAAGGGCAGGCTGCAGCGTACCAGACGTGATGGAGGAGCAGAGGATGGACTCGATGATGGCCGTGTAAAAGTGCACCATCATCGTCTTTGGCAGGTTGAATTTCTTCAGCTGCCTCAAGAAGAACAACCTCTGCTGAGCCTTCTTGGTGATGGAGCAGATGTTCAGCTCCCACTTGAGGTCCTGGGGGATGATGGAGCCCAGGAAACGGAAGGAATCCACAGTGGTGACGGGGGAGGGTGGGACTCTGTTCTTCCTGAAATCCACAACCGTCTCCACTGTCTTTAGAGCGTTGATTACCAGGTTGTTCTGGCTGCAGCACAACACCTTTACGGACTGGTGACTGGAGGTGCAGCTGTTTGCGTACAGGGAGAAGAGCAAGAACGCAGCCTTAGGGGGAAACGGTGCTGATGGTACGGGAGGCTGCGACACGTTTCCCCAGCTTCACGTGCTGCAGCCTATCGGACAGGAAGTCTATGATCCACTTGCAGGTGGAGTAGGGCATGTGCAGCTGGGACAGTTTGTCCTGCAGCAGAGACAGGATGACCATGTTGAAAACAGAGCTGAAGTCCACAAACAGGATCCTAGCGTAGGTTCCTGGGGAGGCCAGATGCTGGAGGATGTAGTGGAGGGCCATGTGGACAGCATCATCTAAAGACCAGTTGGCTCTGTAGGCGAACTGCAGGGGGTCCAGGAGGGGGGTCAGT